CCCCCCCCCCCCCCCCAACACACACACCTGCCTTCATGAATATTTCCGGGGACTAGTGCAAATGTGGACTTTGTTTTTCAGTATTTGAATTTTCACCAGCAAATATTTTAAGTACCTAGAATTCTTAGTTTTACAATATTTCAATAGTGAAAACGTAATTGCTGTCTCAGACTGGCCAATGCTCACGTGAGTGCAGAATGTATCCCCACAGGGAAGCAGGTTTACCTAGGAAGACCTGTGATCAGATGTGCAGTTCACCCTGCAGAGGGAAGGAGACAGTGTGAAGACTGAAGACTGGGAAAGGCCGGAACTACTACAGAGGGCTGGGGGTCAGAGTCAAGGGCATGACCCTGGGGTTTAAGTTAGGAAGACAGATGGAAGAGGATGGCTCAGTGTGAGAGCACCGGGAGGAAAGTGAAGTCACAGGGCAGCTCTCAGGCTCTGACCTGGAGATTGTGGGGACAGTGACCTGGAGATTGTGGGGACAGTGATGTGTTTACAGTTTGAAGACCACGGGTCAAAGAGCAGATTGCTGCAGAAAGAGATGAGTGGCCATTGGACATGCTGACTTTAAGGCACTGTTTTCTTGTTTTTCCTCCCTTTTCCTGAATCTTTTAGGACTTTGGTTTTCATAATAAAACAGTAATCCGGATACTAATTGCCAGAAGTGAAATAGACCTGATGACCATAAGGAAATGCTACAAAGAGAGATATGGAAAATCCCTATTTCATGATATCAAAGTAAGTCTCCTACTTTTTGAAACTGAGATAAAAGCTTTCATTTAAATAATTTCATTTACAATCTAAAAAATTAACTCTTCTGATGGGATTAACTGCTTTCACAGTTTAGACAACCTTTAATACATGAAATGAACAGGTTGGAAAGAAAATCCCTTTACCAGACAGAAGATTTTTTGTCTTTATTTTAAGCAAAATCATTGACACCATCATGTAAAATATTCATCCCCTGTAATTATGCTGCAAGAGCTAAATTCTGAGGTATGCTCAGATCTAGAAAAATGTATCTTGCAGCAAGACCCCATAATCCTGAAGAAGATTCTTATTTCGTTATCATGGAAGGCAGGGCAGCCAGTCAAGTACCATCAACTGTGATCAGGAGGAATTTAACATTACTTGTTATGTGAAAATCTGCACAGCTTTATCCTTTTAACCTTTAGAAAGCAAAGAAACCATGATTCAGAAGTAAACAAGCAATTGCTTCATTCTGATCCTTCTGAACTTTACCCTAGGTTTTTTTGTAAAACCTAGCAAAGAATTACCAGAGTATGTGAGACCCTCTATCTAATTTTCGGAGTGGGGGTGGGGGGCGGTGAAAAATAAAATGCTTGGCCCTTTCTTCAAACAAAAATCACAAAGACTTTCAAGATGGTAGAGCAGAGAATTTAGACCTAGGACAGGGTACTGAGAATCTATCTTCATGTATATTTTGCACATAGATAAGCACTGTTATCTGGCTCACAGTGTTTGCCACTGAAATTTCTAATAGTAAGAAACAGCTTTTTAGTTTACTGACAGAGTAAACCAGAAACAACTCAACAACCCAAGATCAAGAAACCACAAAATCCAGAAGATCTTATAAGCCCTTGAGAGCCAAAGTGGTTCTAGAAGTTGATGGAACAATTAAAAGAAATCTTATTCCTCTATCTTTGATAAAACTCTCATTATATCCACCTTCAAAATGCTAAACTCTTTCAGTGATGATGAACATTTCCCACTGAGAAATACATATCACTCATTTTCTAGATGAATAAACTATATCTTATACACTTCTTATAATTAATCACAGCCATCTTGAAGTCTACTAGTATTTATGATAATTAATGTGACTTTACTATGTGCATATAAAGCAGTGAATCTTAAAGACACAATTTTACATAAAAGAACATTAATAGTTGATTTTTAACAAAGTTTAGTTTTATAATATTACTTTTTTTTTTGTTTTGGAAAATTTGGAAACTATGAAAAAAACAAAAAGAAAACAAAAATGCCCTAAATTCTCTACCACAGATAATCTATAATAAAATATTGTGGCAGGTGCTTCTGTGGTCAGAATTCTTGTGTCTCCTCTATAGTGATGGTGTTAGGAGGTTGAGTATTTGAGAGTTGATTAAATAGTAAGGATAAGCCCAGGGATGGGATTAGTGTCTTTATAAAATAGACACAGGGAGCACCTCTGTCCCTTCTTCCATGGGAGATCAGAAAGAGAAGAAGGCTGTCTATGAGAAGCAGGCAGACACCAAATCTCCTGGCACCTAGACCTTGAATTTCCCAGCCTCCAGGACTGTAAGAAATAAATAGCGATTTGCTACCAAAAGGGGATATTTTTATTGAATCATGGTATCCTGGTGTATAAACTGTAAAATACAAAAACTACCTTGCATATTGTACATATTACTTTTCAGTTTTCACTAGTATATATAATAATATCTTGATTACAGTCTTAAATCTCTGTGTTCATTGATAACTGATAATAGATTCCTAAAGATATATTTCTTAAGTTAAAATTACAGCATTCATGAGTATAAATATTTTTAAATCTTTTGAAACACATTATCCATTTGCTTTCCAGACTCTATACTGATCTATAATAATAACAATATCAGGGCACCTCTTTCTAAAGTTGAAGAAAAGATTTCATTTTAATGTAAGTTTATAGTACTTACAAATACACATTAGGGCTCCACTGTCTTCATATAAGCCACATACTATTGACTATAACAATGTTATAATTTTTCAATACCTTTAACTGAGAATAGTTCTCAGAAAATATTGAATCTTTAGATTAAAACAATAAATAATTTTAGAAAGACTGATGGTCCATGGGTCTCTCATACTGCAATGCAGAAGAATAATGGGTCTTTTTTAGAACAACTATGAGATTTTATTTTATATACATTATGTGTTTTTCTTTACAGAATTTTGCTTCAGGCCACTATGAAAAAGCACTACTTGCTATCTGTGCTGGTGACATGGATGACTACTAAAATAAAGAGAAGGAAGAAAAGGAATCGAAGGGCTATGCATTCCCTTTCATGCGCACATCAAAGGACAGACTTTCTGCTAAATTCATTATTATTAGCACGATAACAAAACTATAGAATCATATTTCTTTTCTATCATCTTTAAAATTATTCCAAGACAAAAAAATCTACTACTGGAAATATATAATCCTGGATATGCATCTGTATCAATCAACAGTTCAGTAAATTATGCATGATGGAATAAGAAAAAACATGCTATTGGAAATTTTTATTTAAGGGTGAACTGTCGACACCCTACAAGAATGTCAGCTCAAGATTGTCTGTGGCATGTTTGGAGAGATTAATGAAAATTCAGTATGTCCTCACTGTCCTTAGAGAAATTTTCTAGAATCTTGTACAAATGCAATAAAGCTAAAATGAGCACCTAAAGCAGGCTGTAAAAGAAAAATAAAGATATAAAACAGTAAAATGCACCAAGATACAAGCTTATCTGGTTTAGATGTACAAGAAACTTATATGTAGACTTACATGCAAATAGTGTGTTGGGGAGGGGGCTGAGTGAGTGTGTGTGTGTGTGTGTGTGTGTATTTAGTTGTATTTGCAGATACTCTGATAAAGGCAATTTATCTCCAGCTATTTTTTTAAAATTTTTGAATCAGTACTTGATCAACTATTTGCCCAAGCAATGCCAGAAAAGGTGGTTCACTGTCTTTATTCCTTAACATCAAAGACTTTTAGAAATTACTACATGTTCTATGCTATCAATGCAGCCTAATTCCTTTTGTCTCTCATGATACAGTAAATTAGGAGTAAAAAGGAGACAATACTCACTGATATCAGCTACTGGGAGGACCTCACTGATATGGCAGTCTTGCCAAGAATGAAAGCAGAGGCAAGTACATCTACCACAGAGGACTCCCAGTCCAAACAAAGTAAACCCCAAATCCAATACCAGAAAGCAGAGGTAGTGAAGTAGGTGAAGTAATGAATCTAGATGAACCTGTGGGGACAACAGAAGTTATTCCTCTGCATGGAACCATTTTCAATAGCCTATGGCTCAGACCCTGTGGATCGGCTTCTGCTGGTCTCAGGGGGAAGAAGTACCTGGCATCTGATAGGGGATGAATTGAAACATTGAAAAAAAAGGGTACAAACATGAAAAATTTAAGAATAATTAGATTTGTGAGATCACTGTCCAGATTTTAATTTAATACTATGGTAAAAGTATGATGTCATTTTAAATTGGGCTTGATTTCTCTTTTTTAAAAAATCATGATCAGAATTTCAAGCCTCATACAATAATTGTTGAAGGTATTTAGCATACCTACTACTTTTGTCAACTAAAAACCATAAGGAAGAAAATGTCAGAATTCCTTTTTAGAATTTAGATATTTTAAAAAAATTGAGGCTGGGGTTGTGGCTCAGAGGTAGAGTTCTCGCCTAGCATGCCTGAGGCACAGGGTTCGATCCTCAGAACCACATAACATAAAATAAAGACATTGTGTCCTCCTATAACTCAAAAATAAATATTTTTAAAATTCCTCACTATGGTATCTTTCTGTAAGTAGTTCAATAGTTATGAAATCTCTATATTGGCTAGATACTACATTTTCTTCCTTAGGTACAACATGCTGTTATCAAATCAAAAGCAAATCCTAAATTGGGTCTCAGAAGGAGACATTATTCATAAAGACTATGGCAATAGGTGTACAGGGGCCTCTGGAATGGAAGAAGGGGACTAACTGCGATAGAAAAGGGGGCTACTGTGACAGAGAGGAAACTCTGACCAGGAGATGTACAGGGACCTCGAAGATCAGTCAGAAAAGGGATTTTTTTCTGATTATAGGGAGGAATAAATAAAATCAGAAAGAATGAGGTATGAGAGAGTAAGATATATACAAAGTATGATTAAATTGTCTATCTGGGAATGGCTTTGATTGATATTCTTCGTGACAGCTGATCTATACGTGGACAGTTGATCAGGAAAATTGATCAGAGAATGCCACCAGGCAGATTTCAGGAGTCAGAGCTAAGGAGTAGCTGTTCATCAGAGGCTCAGTCTGAAGGTGAGTCAAATTCGGGAAACTCTAGGGAGGGAAGAAGCCTAACTAAAATTTGATGAAGTCCAATTGTCTAGAAGGCTGGGTGGTGTGGGGGGCGGTGTTGATCGGTTAACTTATGAAACAAAGAATGGGAATTTGGAAGGTATATCAAGGATTACCTTTGGAAAATAAAAAAAAAGTCTTGAATTTTATCTAAGTCATATGAGAAAGAGTGGGCCTCACAGAGCCCTTCATAAGTCATTTCCCGAAATACAAAAGGACACTACAGTAAAGTTTAATATCGTCAGCATCTTCTGTTTTCCCAAGCATTTGGGTTGAATGCCTCATTTAGTTGTTTAAATGCTGATAGAACATTATTGTTTTCATCATCACATAAATCACTTATTGAAATTCTGTGAAAAATTTAGTGTTTGAATTATCCTCATTGGTATTTATTTATGCTTAAATGATGCTACATTGGTTATATGATCTTCAAATGCAGAAAAGTTTTCTGGATCTGAAACCGAATAGCAAATATAAAGTCTCTGATTAAGCTAAAAGCATCTCCCATATTTAGCTTGGTGAAAAATAATAATAATAATAATAATAATAATAAAGCAATATTTAAGAGAATAAAATTGTTTCTGCTATGCACCCAACCTAAAGAAAAGGAAATAGTAAACATCCATTGAAATTCTGGCTGATCCAGAAACACAATGAAACCAAATATAGAAAGAGGAGAAGTGATCATGCCCTTTCTATGCAATATTGCACTATAGTTTAAGTATAAATTGATTAACAGAGAGGCTAATCATTAGACTGAAAAATACAACTTTGAGTACTAGCACATTAATATCATCAGACTTAAATATTCCACACATTAACACATGTGTCACATCATGAAAATAGCAGAGCAGGCAGCTGCAAGATGTTTTGCAGAAACATCCCAAAAAAGTGAAACAAAAACTAATACAATCAACTTGTCAGACTCCCCCCCCCCCCCCCCCCCCAATAAAAAGTCAAAGTGTTAACTCTGAGTGAATAGGGTTGGTGTTTTAGTCAGCTTGTTCACTGCTATAGCTAAAAGACCAGACAAGAACAATTTTAAGCAGGGAAAGTTTATTTGGGGACTCACAATTTCAGAGGTCTCAGTCTACAGACAGCTGGCTCCATTCCACAGGGCTTGAGATGAGGTTGAACATCAATCATGGCAGGAGAGTGTGGCAGGGGGAACCAGCTCACATGATGATCAGAAAGCAGAGAGAGATCTCCACTCACCAGATACAAAATATATACCCCAACACCATGCCCCCAATGACCCACCTCCTCTACTCACACCCTGCCCACCTTCAGTTACCACCCAGTTAATCCCATGAGGAGATGATTTCACTGACTGGGTTAAAGCTCTCACACCCCAATCATTTCACTTCTGAATGTTCTTGCTTTTTCTCACATGTGAGCTGTTGGGGGACATCTCCTATCTATCCCATAACAGTAGGAAAACTGTAGCATTATATTTTCCCTTCCCCTACTCTCCCTCCCAGCTCAGTGGCAGTCTTCAAGACAGTAGCCTGTGTTTCCAGGATGGGACCTTGGTCCCATTGTTATGGAATGTGTCTAAACAGCATTCCATTGTCTATTATGTATTTTCATTTGTCAATTGACACCTAGCTTGATTTGGTATCTTGGCTCTTATGAATAATGCTGCAGAAAACATGAGTGCAGATGTCTCTTTGATTGAATTACTTCAATCCTTTGAATATAAACAATACTGGGATTGCTAGATCATGTTAGTTCTATTTCTAGTTTTTTGAAAATTTTCCAAACTGGTTTCCATACTGGTTGTACTGGTTTACATTTTCACCAACAATGTATGAGAGTTCCCAACTCCCTTCATCCTCTCTAGTACTTGCTATATTTTTTTCAAATTTTTCAATATAGCCACCCTAACTGGCATGAGATAACATCTCATTGTGAATTTGATTTGCATTTCCTTCATTATTAGTGATACTGAGTATTTTTTTCATACACCCATTGGCAATTTGTGTATCTCCTTTTGAAAAATGTCTATTCAGATCTTTTTCCAATTTTTTGGAAGTCAGATTACTTGGGGATTTTCTTGTTTTGCTTTGTTTAAAGTTCCTTTTATATTGTGGATATTGATCCCTTGTTAGATGAAGAATTTGCAAATATTTTCTCCGATTCTGTTGATTATTTCTTTCTTACACAGAACTTTAGAGTTTGACTTTAATAAAATTTCCTTTGTCACATTTTGCTTTTGTTGTTTTCACAGTCATATCTTAAAAATAAATCTTTGTGCAGACCAATGCAGGCACTTGCAATACTTCCTGTGGGCTTACTGTGAAGAGTCCCAGAATGGTAGAAAAAAGATGTCCACCTCAAACTCACTTATTCCAGCATAGAAACTATTTGAGTTCAGAGAACTATTCCATGTGTAGCACCCACCCACTTGGGAAAGACATGTGTGGTTTAAAGAGATCTGTTTCCCTTACTGTCTGCTCATGAATTTTCTTTTCTGAGATAAAAGAGATCATTACAGCCTCCAATACTGACTTCTATGACAGAAATTCTGAGTGAAAGCATTACTACTGGATAGTTTTTAGTTGGTTTTCTGTAGAGGGAAAATGAATCCAAATAGCTCCTACTTTATCCTTTTGCGAATATCCTACGCCTAACCTCACTCTTTAGAAATCATTTCTGATTAGTCCTTTTGCCTTTTTAAAATTTACTTTTTAATTTGTTGTTTTTAGATATACATGACAGTAGAATGTATTTTGATTAATTTTTGCTAAAAATCAAAAGGGAAGCTGCCCCATTGGACCCATTTCAAGGAGGTTAGGAATAGTTCCCATCTTTCAAGAAGATTTCAGCTGAAAAAAAATAACATTATTTATTGTCTAAAAAGTAGGAAGCTAGATTGACTTAGTCATATGGGAAAAAAA